TTTAAGAGCCGATTATATTGTCGAGTTGTTGAATTTTTAATTAATTAAACATCATTCGCTATTCATATATATATATATATGTATGTATATGTATATGTGTATAATGTATCTATATATTTATGAGTCATACAAATATTTACATTATTATAAAATATATTATAATTATATTATATATATATATATATATATATATATATAATATACTTATAATATATTTTATATATATGTATATAATAAACATATGAATCATAAATATACAATACATACATATATATATAAATATACAATACATTCATATATATATATATATATATATATATATATATATATATGAATAAAAGAATATGTATAAGAGGTAGATCGATGATGAATCATAAAAGCCTCGAAGATCGATATCTCGACACAATCTGGCTCACTTCGATCGGGGGAAAAGAGGAGAAAAAAAAGAACGACAAAAAAGAAAGAAAGAAAAAAAAAAGGAAAAGAAACAAATAAAAAAGAAAAGAAAAAAAATGCGATTAGACCAGCGACGTGACAATATCGAAGAAGCTCCTAGAAGAGCCCTTCGTGAGCCCGTCGTTTTTTATTTTTCGGATTCGATGCATCGATACGTCGCATACGACGTTTCGTCGTGGCAATGTGTTTTTTTTTTTTTTGGTTTTTTTCTTTTTTTTTTTTTTTTTTTTTTACTTTGTGTAGCGGGTGTGGGATGGTCGGTGGGATAAAAAGAACTCTCTGATAATACGCGAAAGAGCCGCAATTAACCGGAAATCCACCGCCCACCCGCGCTTCTTCAGTAGTCTTAGCTGTCTGATGAGTGTGCTCTGCGTGTTTCCATATTATATTACCCAACAACCAACAACAACCAACAACGACAACAACAACAACAACAACAACAACAACAACAACAACAAATACGAAGTAAAGACAAAAAGAAATTTTACCTTACGATTACCGTCCACTCATGCCCTAATAATAACCCACCCATCCACCCACCATCCATCATTAACATCTTTTTTTTTTTGTTTTTTTTTTTTTTTATTACATTGCTAAGACGCAACCCTCGAAACCTCTCCACTTTCAACCCTTCATTCCTTATCGCATCTTTCTCTCTCTTTCTCTCTCTTACTCTTTCTCTCTATTACTCTTTCTCTCTCTCTCTCACTCTCTCTTTCTTTAATAACAACAACAACAACAACAACAACAACAACAACAACTGTTACATAATGAACAAATTTTATATACTTATATTATTCAATATATTCGATTTCATGCGCCTCGCCCCGTCCCTTATATATATATATATAATTTTTTTTTTTTATTTGTTTCAATTCAGGTTTGTTTAATTAATTTTTTTATCCAATTAATACCTAACATTTTTCTATCTCTATCTATCTTTAATTCTATTTCCCCCTCCCCCTCCCTCTCCCTCTCTCTCTCTCTCTACCCTCTTTCTCTTTCTCGTTTGATTTTTTTCATTTAAGTATGTGCGTGTATGTGTGTGTGTGTGTGTCTCTCTCTACCAATTTTGCATTCGTTCATTTTCTTATTACATATATATGTATATATTACATACACATATATATATATATATTATGTAATAAGAATTAATTATGTAATTATGTAATAATGGTTATGTTGGTTTTGTTTTCGACGTGTTTAACATGATCGTTAATTCGTGTGCGAGTGAGTGTGTTCCGTTGTGTGTCCATGAATAATTTTATATGTTACTTATCCACATTTTTAAACAAACCCCCCCATCCCCCGAATTCAACCCTTCACCTCTATTCCCTTACCCTTACCCTTTCTTACCCAATATTCGATCGTGTTTCATTCCTTTATTTCGTCAGGATTGATAACACGAGATCGATTGATAAAACGATCAGCTATATTTAGTTTTCGATCGTCTCCTTCGAGGATTGTTTTTTTTTTCTTTTTTTTTTTTTTTTTTTTTTTTCTATTTGTTTTTACTCTAATGAAATTGTATTCTCTCTCTCTCTCTCTCTCTATCTCTCTCTCTTTCTCTCTCTCTCTCTTTTTCTCTCTTTCTCTCTTTCTCTTTCTTTCGTCATCAATTTGTGGATATATTCTCATTATGCAAATACACACACGTAAAAGCGCACAATATGCTTTTCCTTTCAATACAAGGAAAAATAAAAACTCGTCCCATTTTATATATTCGAATAATGAATTTTTTAATTATTTAAGAAATAATTGAGCAATATATATATAATGCATATATATATATACACATATACATATATATATATATATATATATATATATATATATTTATTTATTTATTTATATATAAAGATATATGTGGAAGTAGGTTATATTATATTAATTAATATTATTAATTAATATAATATATATATATATACATATATTTATTAATTATTGTCTTCTGGAGAAATACCACACAAATTACATATAACAAATTCGTTAGATTCTTCTAACGATACTTATCTATTCCATCTCTCTCTCTCTCTCTCTTTCTCTCTATCTCTTTCTTTCTCTCTTTAAGCAGGATTATAGTGCATATAGTTATACATGATATATATATGTATACTATTAGAACGATTAGAAAGCGAAACATATATCATGTACAATTTTTCCCGAGAATTATACCGATTGAAAAAATCGTGAAAACAAAGGCCTATTATATATTAGATAATAATAATAATAATAATAATAATAATAATAATAATAATTATTATTATTATTATATAACTATAATAATAATTATTATCATTATTATTATTATTATTATTATTATTATTATTATTATTATTATTATTATTATTATTATTATTATTATTATTTTACTATGATAATAATCACATTTCCACACTGTGATTTATATATTCTATTTACCAATTTAAATCTATATATATACATCTATCTGTCTGTCCATTTATCTGTCTAACTAACTATCTATCTATCTATCTATCTATCTATCTACCTATCTATCTATCTATTTATCTATCTATCTATCTATCTATCTATCTATCTATCTATCTATCTATCTATTTTTATCTCGATCATTTCTATACATATACATTTTATATATTAAATCTATACATATATATATATATTATTCTCTATATTAAATCAGATCTGATTGAATAATGTACATATTGTCTTTCGTTTCAAAACGATTAAGGTTCAGGACTGTCTGTTGCGGACCATTTCTAATACTGAAACTAATATAACCCACGATTTTCAGGAGATCGAGATAGGCTCTCTACAAAAACAAAAAAAAAAAAGAAAAAAAAAAGAAAAAGAAAAAAAAAGAAAAAAAAAATAAGAACAGAAAAGAAAGCAAAACAACAAAGAGATAAACAAACAAACAAACAAACAAACAAACAAACAAATGAATGAATAATAATAATAAAATAAGACGATATCAGCTGCCAGTACCAGTTGGAAATAATATAGAGATAATTATTTATCGCGATTAGGAAGGAGATCATCAATGATATATATATATATATATATATATATATATATATTTATATATATTCGAACGAAAATAAAAAATATTTTCTATAATAATGATCAAATCTACTTGTGGGTAGGTACGCATAGATGATTAGATAGATTGCGCATGTATGCCAATAATAATCGTCCGCAATTATTTAGCTTGCACCTGGCGATAGTAGATACCATTAATCGATTTAGTTGATTCGCACCGCGCGACACCCATATTATTACTATTATTATAATTATATTTACTCTTATTATCATTATTATCATCATCATTATTATTATTATTATTATTATTATTATTATTATTATTATTATCATAATTATTATTATTATTTTTATTATTATTATTATTATTTTTATTATTATTATGATTATTATTGTTGTTGTTATTATTATTATTTTTTTTTCTCTTTGTTCTCTTGTAATTTTCCCCCCTTCCCCCTTTTTGCCCGGGCTGGAAAACGATGCTGACATCAAGCAAGATACACACATGATTTTCATCTCACATGGTGTATGTAAATGTGCGTCTCCGAATGAATTATCAAATGTTTTATAATATAAATGAAATCATATATATATATATACATATGCATATGTACCTACATATATACATACATATATACATACATACATTCATATATACATATACGGAATACACATAATGGGAAAAATAATTAAAGAAAATAATAATAATAATAATAATAATAATAATAATAATAATAATGATAATAATAATAATAATAACAAAATGAGAAGATACTATATTAGGAACGATACAAATACACGATGTCGATTCAAAAAAAAAAAAATAAAAAGATGAAAAAAGAGAGAAACGAAAAAGAAAACAAGAAAAGATGAGATGTAATAATAATAATAAAAATTAAAAAAAAAATATATATATATATATATAACCAAAAATTGATATCTCGAAGAATATTATAGACGGACACGCATATACTACATCTACATACATTACCTACTTACTATATATATATATACACATATGCATATACATACGTGAATATATATATATATATATATATGTTTACGTACATTTACACAAACATTTTGGACAATGAGGATATAAAAAGAAAAGAAAGCAAAAAAAAAAAAAAGAAACCACACAGACACTCACACAAGAGACAAAGACAAACAAACAAGAATCCCTTCCCCTCGAAAACGAAACGAAAAAGAAAAAAATAAAAAAAAAAAAAGGAAAAGAACACACACATGAAACATGAGAGATAGGGAAAAAAAATCGAGAACCCAAAAAACCTTCCCCCAGAAAAAAAAAAAACCATACAATCAAGCAAAAATAATAAAAGAGCAAAGAAAAAAACGAACGAACGAACGAACGAATCAAAAAAAATAAAAAAAATAAAAAAAATAAAAAAGAAAAGAATAGAAATGAAAAAGAATATGGCGCGCGCTTATATGTGTGTTGCTGGCCTGGCAAGATACTCATCCTCGCTTCCTGATAGAATACGTCTCCTTCCCTATTTTTGCAGCTTCGAGTAATAAGAGCGTTCAAGTCGACTCTGGAAGATCTGGAGGAGCGTCGCTCTGTCCATAGTTTACACAGCTTACACAGTATGCGCAGCTCACGCAGCCACACCGGGCCACGTCCATTATCTGACTTCACATACATTGACGAAGATCCTACAAACAACACCAACAACGCCCACCTCTACGCGGCAAAGAGTACCGCTTACAACAAGAATACTGCGGACCAGAATCAGGATCATGAGACTGCTAACGCAAGAAGATCAAGGATTGTCCAGTCAATCAACAGTCCGACTTCGCCATTGTTACTCAGCGTTCCTGGATCGGCTTACAACAACCATTATACCACCGCCACCGCCAATACCGCCACCGCCAATATCGCTACCAACACCACCGCCACCGCCACCACTACCACTACTATCACCAATAACAACAGATCCTCATCCAACAACGCCCTGAATCAACTCCTCAGCAGTAACCCGGACACCACCGTCAACAATTCCTCCTTGCTTCTCAGTTCGAACAATTTGGTCCTACCGGAACTGACCAAGCTCGTGCATGAGACCAGCATTTAAAACGATATATGGCAGCTTTTGCGCGTTGTTTGCTCGACACCCCCTCCTCTTCCTACCCTGACCAACCTCTTTTCTCTCTCTCTCTCTCTCTAGCTATCTATCTATCTATCTATCTATCTATCTATCTATCTATCTATCTTTCTTTCTCTATCTTCTCTCTCTCTCTCTCTCTCTCTTTTCCTCACTACCTCTAACATTCTATCTCTCGTAGAACACCCACGTCCATCCCCAACCTACTATTTATCAGTGTCATCTCTTAATTATTACCTTCTATCTTTCTTTTCTTGGATCAACAAAAACAACCCCACAATCCTCGCTGTTGTCTGCTCTTAAAAATTTACGATATTAATTATCGACTATTCTTCTTATGATTTATCTTTCTGCTTTCTTTTTTATTTATTTACTTTTCTTTTTTTTTTTTTTTTTTTTTTTTTTTAATAGGAATACATCGATAATGATTTATTTGTATCGTTGATTTGATCTATTTATCTATCTATCTATCTATCTATATATACATTTATATATGTATATGTATATATATATATATATATATATATATTTTTTTTTTTTTCTCACGTGCACTCTATCTATCCATCTATCTATCTAACTATCTATCTATCTATCTATCTATCTATATATCTCTATCTAAGCACGTTATAGCACCGAAAAGTTATATTTTTATCTTTTAACAAAATATTATATACTTATATATATATATATATATATATATATATATATATATATATATATATATACATACACGATCGGAAGGATAATATTAATTCGTGTCATTAAAATTTCACTCGTACATAGGATCCATACGACCTATTGTCTCTTTTAAAGATTAATTTCATATCTCGCAATTCAAGTTTATCATTTAATCGTAATTATTAATAAAATTTCAACGTAATTCATGATAACAATGAAAATATATTTTTTTTTCTCGTCTCTTCAAGCGAACGAAGTTTGGCGGAAATTTTATTTAGTTTTTTCTTTTTTTAATTTTTAATTTTTATTTTTATCGATTTAACTTCGTTTGTAATTTTGTCCTTTTTTTTCTTTTTTTTTTTTTCTTCCATCCCTCGTAAAGACATTATCAGACGAGCTTTCAAGTCTTGTTTATAATTGACCCAAAATTATCTTCGTTGCATTTTAATTATGAGATATATAATACATATAATTATTATCTTTTCTATTTTTTTACTTCTTATAAAAAAAAAAAAAAAAAAAAAAGAAAAGAGAAATATTTCTACGCTAGATCGTCGATCTTATCGATATTTCGAATTTGTTGCATTCGGACTGATATAGAGAACGATCGATAGCGAAAAGTACTTAAAAAAAGAATGCATCGTAATTTTCTCTTTTTTGTCCTTTTATTCTCTTCTTAATATAAAGAAAAAAAAAAAAAAAAAAAAAAAAAATTCGAGATATCCTCGCAATCGACGTCTATCGTTAAAATGTTCTTTCTTTTCTCTCTCTCTCTCTCTCTCTTTTTTTTCTTTCTTTCTTTCTTTCTTTCTTTCTTTCTTTCTTTCTTTCTTTCTTTCTTTCTTTCTTTCTCTCGTTAAAAAATTAGAAATAAACGTGGGATAGATAGAAAGGCACGCTTTTATCTTTCTTCTTATTTTTTTCTTTTTCTTTTCTTTTTTTTTTTTTTTTTTTTTTATTTTCATTTTAATTTTACCCGATCGATCCAATATACGTATTATTCAAATCGATCGCAACATTCCGATAAATTTCAAAAGCAATTAACATTATTTATTGTTATACAAATTAATTGTGAATTTTAAGAGCGGGGGACACACAAAAAAAAAAGAAGAAGAAGAAGAGGAAGAACAATTTAAAACGTTAAACAAATATTTTTTTCCTATTAGTATTTCCAATTTTTCATAGAATCAACACGCGTTTACGCAAACTCTGCATTTTTGTTTTTCTTTTCTTTCTTTTTTTATTTTCTCTCTGTCTCTCTCTCTCTGTCTCTCTTTTTTCTTTCTTTTTTTTTTTTTTTTTTTTCTTTCTTTTCTTTTCTTTATCGACAGCTTAAGTATAAAGCTTGGAGTAATGTTTGTATATTTTTCTTTTTGTTTTTCTTTTGTAATAGATTTTTTTTTTAATTTTTTCTTTTTTTTTTAACCTTTTTCAATTGCGAGAATGTTCGATGCTTGCAAAGAAGGCTTCGATTAAATAATATTTTTAGCATTATTTACTTATTTATATATACGTGCCTACCTACATACCTAATACTATTCAACGAATTATTTCATCTATATATAATTTACGTACATATATACATATATTATTTGTCTCTATTTCTCTATTTCTCTATTTATCTATTTATCTATCTCTCTCTTTCTATCTCGTTTTATATATATATATGTATATATATATAAAGCGAAATATCACGCGAGATCGAGAGTGGATACGTGAGATCTATAAAGGGGTTTAAGAAAAATGATCTATTATCAATATTAATCCTCTATAATAATGCCGTATACATTTTTTAAATTAACATATTCATTTCGTAAAATAATTCAAATATGACAAAACATTTTTTTAACGATTAATTCGTTCGTATAAAATTAATAATTTTGTATGGATCATTGTTAATTAAAAGAGAAAGGAAAAAAAAAATAAAAAGAAAAAAAGAAAAAATTCAATACGATAAATCTTATCAAATAATCAATTCGTTTAATATAAAATAATTAATGTGCAAATTTGCAAATAAAAATCTTTAAATATAAAATTATACATCATATATCTACGATATATAAGATAATTATAATGATGATAATAATTATACTATAGATATTATAGAATTTCATGATTATGTAATATTTATTTTTAATAATGAAAAAAATGAGAAAGGAAAACAAAACAAAAAAAAAAGTTGGTTTATAGAGGGTTAATATTAATACCTAAATATATCACACATACGTATATATATATATCAATCCAAAGTAAAAGAAAAAAAAACTGATAAGCGTTATCTTGAATAATTATTTATAATTAATCTTTCTTATCTGAAAAAGTAAACGAGTCCGCGTATGCGCGTGATGATTCTTTTAATATATTTATCTATCTATCTATCTATCTATCTATCTATCTATCTATCTATCTATCTATCTATCTATCTATACACACACACATATATATATATATATATATATATATGTATATATACAACTTTCTCTCTCTGTCTCTCTTTCTTTCATCTATCTAAGCAAATGTACTTACTTTCTTTCTCTCTTATTAATTATCCTTGTCACGTTACAAATAAAAATATATCTTTTTATGAGAAAGAACAGCGGCGGTCTCTTAAATTAAAGAGAATCAGTGTAGGAGAAGTAAGATAAGAAAAAAAGAAAAAAAAAAAAAAAAAAGAAAACAGACAAGATGAAACGAAAACGAAACCAAAGGAGAAAGAAAAAAAAAAGTAATGGGGGGGAAAAAAAGAAAAGGAAAAATAAAATTACAACAAGCAAGGAATAATAACGAGTTGTTAATAGAACAGTGGGATGGGGGATGTGGGGGGTAAGGATTTATTTGGTGGGTGGTGAAGGTGAGTGGATGGGTGGGTGTTTAAGAGGAAGGGATTGGTGGGTGGCACGTCAATCTCTTATCTTTGTTTTTTCATGTGTCTTCTGTACTTCTTCGTTTTTTTTTTTTTTTTTTTTTTTTTTATATATATATATATATAAATATCGAAAAAACACTCGGCGAGCAAGTTTCTCATGTTTTTTTTCTTTTTTTTCTTTACTGTTGAGAATCGTTTTCCTTTCATTCGTTTTTTCTTCATTCTTAATTTTAATTCTAATTTTATTCTTTAAAAGGGAAAGGAAACGTTTCGCAATAAAGAAAAAAGAGGGAAAAAAAAGAAAAAAAGAAAGAACAGCGTTAAAAGTAAAGTGAAAAAAAATATGTTATCTATGGTTTTTTTTTGTTTTTTTTTTGTTTTTTTCTTTTTTTTAAGAGCGCAACGAAAGATTTGAAACATTGATTTTTATGTTCGTTTACCATTATTATATACTATTATTATTATTAATTATTAATTATTAATTATTAATTATTAATAATTATTATTATTATTATTAACTATTATTAATATTTAATTTAATTTAATTTAATTTAATTTAATTTAATTTAATTTAATTTAATTTAATTTAATTTAATTTAATTTAATTATAATTTTTAAGCTTTTTTTTCGTACCTCGATTCTTAATCGTCCGTACGTAAGAGATTATGTTAGTGGTCCGATGTATTATTGTTATTATTATCATTATCATTATTATTATTATTATTATTATTATTATTATTATTATTATTATTATTATTATTATTATTATTAACAATTTATTATTATTAATTATTAATTATTACAGAGATATCTCGTCGGACTTCTTTCATGATCCGCATGTGTAACGTGTGTTCGTATTTTCTGCGTGGGAATGACAATAATAATAATAATAATAATAATAATAATAATAATAATAATAATAATAATAATAATAATAATAATAATGATAAAAATAATAGTAATAGTAATAGTAATAATAATAATAGTAACTGTAATAATTATTATTATTATTATTGTTATTATTTAAGTTAAAAAAAAAAAAAAGAACATCCGGACGACAATTACGTTCGTTTTACGTAAATTTTTAGTTACTATATTTAATAACATTTTTAATACTACTTTTATTTATATTATTTTTTTTATAAATCTCTCTTTATCTCTTTTTCTTTTATTATTAATATTATTATTATTATTATTATTATTATTATTATTATTATTATTATTTTTGTATTATTATGTGTATGAGCTTATGCTCTTTCTTGCACAACGACAAATATTATGTACTTAATTTTATTTTTTATTCTCCCTTTAATTTTTACCTTTTTTTTTTCTAGTCTCCTTTCTCTCTCTCTCTCTCTCTCTCTTTCTTTTTTTTTCTATCTTTGTTTTACTTTTTCTTCTAAATAATCTAAAATTGAATTAGAGATAAAAGTTCAGATAATTAGTGATTAAAACGATCGTATGACGTCGTCCCATTTTTATTAATATTATTATTATTATTATTATTATTATTATTATTATTATTATTATTATTATTATTAATATTATTTTATTTTTGTTATTATCGCTCCCTTAAATTAATCGATCTTGTATGATCTTTTTTTTCTTCTTTTTTTCTTCTTTGTCAAATAAATACTTAACGATCGTTACCGATCGAAAATATGTTCGCTTACTGCCACGGCGTTTTTATAGATAAATAGGTTCGAAGGATTTAAAAAAAAAAAAGGAAAAAAAAAGGGAAAAAAAAGACGCGTTTTAAAGCAAAAGCAGAAAAAAAAATTAATAAACACTAAGATAAAATAGAAATTATAA